TTGTATCCCGGTTTCTGTCAACCACTGGGGTATATTTTGACCTTCCCGTCCACCCTTCCATCCACCTTCCTGTCCTCCTTCCCGTCCATCCTTCCCATCCACCTTCCTGTCCGCCTTCCCGTCCTCCCTTCCGTCCACCTTCCCGTCCTCCCTTCCGTCCTCCTTCCCGTCCACCTTCCCGTCCTCCTTCCCGTCCACCTTCCCGTCCTCCCTTCCGTCCACCTTCCCGTCCACCCTTCCATCCGCCTTCCCGTCCACCCTCCTGTCCATTCACCCTCCCGTCCACCCTCTTGTCCACCTTCCCATCCACCCTCCCCAACCCCCTCTTCCCCATATCTTTCAGTCCTCAGATGTGTCTGCACCCCTCCCCCCATATCTTCCAGTCCTTAGATGTGTCTGCACCCCTCCCCCATAGTAGTTGGTAGTTGATCTGGAAGCCCCATCTGGGTCCTGGTTGGTTGGGTTGATTGGTCTTCTTCTTCTCCCATCAGCTGGCGGGGGTCAACCAGATAGACATGCTGCAGCCTTCAAATAGCTACATGAGCATCAACATGGAGGATGTCATAGAGAGTCAGGCTGTGAACGATGATTATAGGAATTCCGGCTACAGCCGAGGACACGTCAACCCAAGTGGGCACCACAGCTCAGATTCCCAGCTCTCCACCTTCACCTACACCAACATGGCGCCCCAAGACTCCACCTTCAACAGCGGAACCTGGAACCAATACGAGACCTTCCTACGAGACAAGATCATGTCCACATGCAGCCAGACGCACGTCCTCAGCGGCGTCATCGTCTCCGGATTCAGTCCGTCCAAAGGCAAGTGGCTGCGGAACCGCGTCAATGTGCCGGACTTTTACTGGAGTGCGTTTTGCTGTGTACGGCAAGACGGTACCAAGATGGCGGAGGGGAGGTTGGGCCGCAATGTCTCCCCGTATGATGTGGTGACCAAAACCATCCCAGAGCTCCAAAACATCCTGAAGAACACATATGGAGAGGCCGTGACACTGTTCCAAGATGGCTGCCAGTGATACTTCCGTGGGGGTGGGGTTCCTTATATAATGTAAGTCACTGTATAAGGTAATGGCTCCGCCTATGAGGATCCTCTTCATATTCTCTCATCATCCCAAATAAATTCCATTTTACCATCAAATTATTTGTTTGTGTTTCATCTCCATCAATGTGTTAAAGGGTCATTCCTCCGGGTCATGTCTGGGAAGGTTCTCGTTCTTCCGGGTCATGTCTGGGAAGGTTCTCGTTCCTCCGGGTCAT